TCTCTGTGGGGTATACTCCCAGTAATGGAATTGCTGGGTCAAATGGTATCTCTATTTGCAACTTTTTGAGAAAGCGCCACACCACCTTCCACAGTGGTTACACCAGTGTAGAAACTTTTTAAGGCAAACACAGTAACATCTTAACCATTTTTTTATTATACTACCTTTTAATATTTTTGTTGTTGTTGTTAATTGCCTTTGAGTTGAGCATGACTCATAGTGACCCTGTGAACAAAAGGCCTGAATCCCCTCTACAACTATCTACATTTATCAAAGTTCGTAATTTCTGGAGGTATGTTGTTTAGGAAGTGGATGCCACTCCTGCTCTAAACCTTTTAATAGGCATCCAGTATACATAATTATGTTTACAGAAAACTGATATGATGAAACACTCTCAAAAAAGAAGAAACATGTTCAAATATTTGTTATAATACGTTGGTGTTAAAACAAGCATAGAATGCAGGGGAGCTCTGGTGGCCTAGTGGCAAGAAGCTGCACTGCAATCCCAGAGGCGCACGGTTCAAATCCACCAGATGCTCTGCTGGGGAAGGAGGGACAGTCTCCTCCTGTACCAGTCAGATCTGATTTGACAGTACACGCACACACACAAATAATAAAATAAAAAAAATTAAAAATTAAAAAAAACAAGCATAGAATGCATTTGTAAATCTTGAGAAGTCAGAGAAGGGAAGAAATTACTTGCTAGAAGTCTTTCTTCTTTGGGATGGCAGGTGTTGGGGGAGGCTGGCAATAGTTTTGTTTATACACAAAAGTGACTGTAAACTGCAAAAATATATAACATTTAACCAAAGACTTTTAGTTAAATCCTTTAAAAATTCTGGCATGAGTGAAAATGTGATGGAGGGCAAGTTGGTCTTTATAAGTTTGCTCTGTTGTGGTTGAGGGGGATGTAATGGTAAAGAAATCAAAGGCCTCAAAGAAAGGATATGAGAAAGATATGGTTTGAAAACAATGTATATGAACTTTGTAAGTAAAGCAGTATAAAATAAAAATAATATTGTTAGTAAAGCAGTATAAAATTAAAATTTTCATTATTTTTAAAAACCCACTATAAATAGAAGGAAGGGAAAAAAGAAATAAAAGACCATAGACATGTCACCATAACACCCAACATATCCACTTCAAGGTAGTAAAATCTTAATAAAATAAACTAAAAAATTTGTCTGTGAATGTGTAATTATCCAAAGATGGAAAAAGCTCTTATCTTTCCACTTGTTGTTAGATGTTGTCGATTACAACTCATAGCAGCCCTCTTAAGAACAGATTTGAGCCCTGCCATCTGAACCCTGTGCTATCCTACTCATCTGACACACTTGAGTCCATTGCTGTAATCACTGTGTCAGTCAGTCTGATTGAGGGTCTTCCTCTCTTCTTGGTACATCCATGCATTGTAATACTGTGTAAAGATAAAAAGATACAAACTGCTGATGTAGAGATAAATTATCCTTAGCCAGAGAAGTCAGACTAAAGGCTATGATTCTATTTTTTTAACATTGTACATTAAGCAAAACGATAAGGACAGAAAACAGAGCCGGGATTGCCAGAGGCTGAGGGAAGGATTTGAGGAGCATTAATGGAATTTTGGAGAGATTATAGTATGGTTTTTTATCTTATGGTCTCTCTCACTCTCATTGCCATCATGCCAGTACTGATCAGAGCTGACACTCCAGCTGCTTTTCAGAGGCTACAAATCACATGAAAGGAGATAATCCATCTTTCTCCTGCAGAACAGCTGGTGTATTTGAACTGTCTGCTTTTGGGTTGGCAGTGCAGTTTCTTACCCATGATAAAATAACTATGTTTTTTTGCAAAGTCATAGAACAGTACACTAAGGATAAAATTTAGTGTATATAAATTATACCTCAATTCTGAAAATAGTCCTAACAGTCAAGTATTGTAATAATTTGTGTTTGATTTGTAGGAGTTGCCTTTTTGGTATGAAAGAGTAGAATGTTCTCACGATCTTTAGCCTTTCCAGAAAGTTAGTGTGCTAATCAATCTCTAATGAAATGAGAAGAGTAACATTTCATTACTGCTTATGGAGAAGAGAACTAGTATGTCATCTGTTAATCTGAGAAGGTCATTTTCTTGTTCTCGCTATGGAAAGTATATTCCTAAAATAGAAAGAGGCTAGAAGAAGAAAACAGAATTATTTTTTAAAATGAAATTTTTATTTTATATTGGTTTACTTACAAAGTTCACACACATTGTTTTTCACCAGATCTTTCTCTTTTCCTTTACTCATCCCTCCCTCCACGCATCAAATTGTGTGACCCTATGATTATTCCTATCCATCTTCACCCCTGTACACTGCCCTCTCCCCCTTGGATCCTTATACACGTTCTACAATAATGTTTGTCCTTATGGGTCTGAGTTAGTTTACTTAACATAATGCTCTCCGGTCCCTTCCAAGTTAGGGTAGTAATTTATAAAGCCATTGCTTTTGCATTCTGCTAAGTATTTCTTCATGTGAATCTACCATAATTTCTCAATCTTTTCAGTTGTAGTTGGGCATCTGTGCTGTTTCATGTTCTTGGAATGGTGAATAATGCTGCTATGAACATTGGTGTACAGTTCTCTGTTTTTGCCTCAGTTATTCTTTTGGGGTATATTCCAAGCAGTGGAATAGCTGAGTCTTCTGAAGCTTCTTCTGACATACTTTGGGCATGTTGCAAGGAGGGATTGGTCCTTGGAGAGGGACATCATGTTTGGCAGAGTGGAGGGGTGGCGAAGGAGAGGAAGACCTTCGATGAGATGGATCAATTCTGTGACTGGAGCGGTGGGAATGAATGTGTTTGTGATGGCGAGATTGGCACAGGATAGAACGGCGTTTAGGGCTCTTGTACATAGGGTCACTATGAGTTGCAAACGACTCGATGGCACATAACGACAACAACAGAATTTCTATGGTCAGTTGTTTTTTTTTTGTTTTTTTGTTTGCTTGTTTTTGTTTTAAATTTTATTTTTATTTTATTATTTGCGTGTGTGTGTGTGTGTGTGTGTGTACCGTCACATCGGATCTGACTGACACAGAAGGAAATTGTCGCTCTTTCCCAGCAGAGCATCTGATGGATTAGAACTGTGTGCCTCTGGGCTTGCAGTGCAACTTCTTACCACTAGGCCACCAGAGCTCCCCTGGTCAGGTTTTTTTTTTTTTAAATTTTGTTTTGTTTTGTTTTTATTGTTGTTGTTGTTGTTATTTTGTTATTTTGTTGTTGTTGTTGTTATTATTATTATTATTATTATTATTATTATTTTCTGCGTGTGTGTACCATCATCTGACTGGTACAGGAGGAGATGGCCCCTGCTCTGGCAGAGCATCTGGTGAATTGGAACCACGTATCTCTGGGATTGCAGTGCAGCTTCTTGCCACTAGGCCACCAGAGCTTCCCCCCCTTCCAGAGTGGTTTACCATTTTACAGTCCCACTAATAATGTATAAGCATTCCTATCTTGCCACATCCTCTCCAACATTTATTACTTGCTGTCCTGTTAAACTTTGCTACTGCTACTAGAGTGAATAGTATCTCATTGTGGTTTTGATTTGCATCTTTGTTATTGCCAGTGATTTTGAATATTTCTTCAGGTGTCTTGGCTGAAAACAGATCTTTTTAACAGTCTGTTGTTTTTGTTATTGTTGTTGATTGCCTTTGAGCACGACTCATAGCGACCCCATGAACGAAAGGCCTGAAGCCCTTCTACAACTATCGAGTTTTGACATTTATCAAAGTTCGTAGACTTTCTGGAGGAATGTTATTTAGAAAATGGATTCCACTCCTACTTCGAAACCTGTCATAATATGTTATTGTTGTTATGTGCCATTGAGTTGCCTGTGAAAAATAACAACCCTATGTACGTTATTATCTTAAAATTTGTTTTGACCTTCGACCTGCAATTGCATGATACCACTATTATCAAGGACGAATACTGCTCATGTCAATTGTATTTACTCTTTCTTGACATAGAGGCACAATCAATGTTTTATACTATCAAACCTTGACAGAAATAGGAACCAGAATTCTAAGTGCCCAAGTTGGAATCCTGGCTCTACTATGTACTGGATTACCTTGTGTGAGTTACTGAGTTTCCCTGTACATCAGTTTCTGAATCTTTAAAATGAGAAAACAATACCTACCTTATAAATTTCCTTTTAATATTAAACATCATATACTTAGCAAAGCTCTTAGCATCTAGGGAGTATTGGATAATTCTAGATTACCGTTGTTATTAGAGAGCAAGTATCTGTTTGTTGTCTTTTTTATGGACCTGTGGAATTGGAGGGTAGTAAAGAGGAGAGTAAACTAAGACAGAACAAATTCAGGTTGTAGTCACAGCTCTTATGAAGCCCCCAACACCCTTTCCCTACCATCTACCTCACATAAATCACCAGGACAAGACAAAAGGAGTGAATGGAATATTGAAGTTGTCAAAATTAGGCTTCTAATATAGTGGCTTGCACACCTACTGCTTATTGTTGCCTCCTGGATTAAAGAGCAGCGATAATCCAATTTCTTTTTCTAGTTTAAACAATCAAAATATAAAGGAAAGGACATTAAAAATCTGTAGTTTGTCAAAAAAGACATTATACTCTATAAACAGCCTGCAAATTATCATGATAATTATACTTAAGGAGGATATTGAGAGTATCGTAGCTAATACCTGTTAGAATAGTCATTCTCATCAGTCCTTGAGAATAATTTTATACTTTGGAGAAAAAATGGTGTCAGATGGAGAAGTAACTCTGGTTCAGTTTACCATTATCAGTCACTATTCTATTTTAGACATATATTTTCCATTAAAAGAGGAGGCAAATTTAGAAAACATTTCTTTTGGAATATTGACAACCTGTTTACTACATACTAAAACTTCCCTTGTGGTGCCCACTGTTTGAGAACAGAAAGATGTAGAAGAGAGACAGAGTGGGGGTTTTTGTATTATTTCTCTTGAACAAATCTGATATGACTATTTTTACACTGTTAGGAGCTCTTGTCCTTGGCAAAACGGAAGCGCAGTGACTCGGAAGAGAAGGAGCCACCTGTGAGTCAGCCTGCAGCCTCCTCAGACTCTGAGACATCCGACAGTGATGATGAGGTAAGTGGAGAAGGGCTTGACTGTGAAACAGACACATATTTGAGTCTCTTTCCTCGAAGTGAGGCATATAGCTAAGAACTTGTTAGGGAAAGAAAATTATGTAGGGATATCTTATTACTCCAAAATCAGTGCACAGTATTTCCTTGTAACATATCAGCTATTAACTCAGTTGCTTTTGACTAGTTTTCTGTTCTAGCAACTAACTCTTCAAGGTCAACATACTTCTTTCTACTTGTACTGGTGACTCATTAATGACCATAAACTTCAAAGGAGGCAAGAAAATTTGGGAGGCAGACACATTTGAAAAAGTCCAATGTAGTTCTGGTGCAAGTAGGTTCCATCTAACAGAACTGTTGCTTTAAGAACAAACTGGGAGAAGGGTAGAGAGAATAGTGCAACAATGAATGAATGGAAACCCAAAATCTCTGTAAATGTTTATGAAAATTAAATATAGAAAAAAAAAAAGAACTGTTGCTTTAACAAGCAAATTGCTAAAAGACTAGTAATAAAAACACAAAAGCCATAGCAGAAATGAGGAGAAAGAGCACATTACTTAGGATGCAGTTTTTACACATGGAGTAATGTGGAAATATTTGTTATGAGAATGGGAAAAGTGCAAGAATGTCTGTCTGATGTTTTATAACCTGAGGCTTTCTCACCAAGCCATAGCGGTACAGTGGTTAAGCCTTTGGTCACTAACTGAAAATCCAGTGGTTTGAACTGACCAGGCCTCAAGAAAAATGTGCCAATTGGTTTTCATGATTGCGGCTTTGGAAACCCTATAGGGCAGTTCTACTCTGGAGATTGTTAGAGTCCCGTTCAACGTAATGGCAATGAATAAGAGTTTTCTTATATTACAGAGTAAGAGAATTGAACACAAAAGTGATATATGAGGGGAGCTCTGGTGGCCTAGTGGCAAGAAGCTGCACTGCAATCCCAGAGAAACACGGTTCGAATCCACCAGATGCTCTGCCGGAGAAGGAGGCGCAATATCCTCCTGTACCAGTCAGATCTGATTTGACGGTACACGCACACAAAATAATAAAAAAAAAAAAAAAAAAAGTGATATATGGAAGCTGTTGTTATGTACCCTTGAATAAAAATTTACTCATAGCTGACTGGTTAACAGGTTTTCAGAGGTAGTAAATTGCCCAGAAGCACGTTCATCTTTCTCCCACACAGAGCAGTTAGTGGATTCGAAGCATGTGCTTTTACGTGGGCAGCACAGCTCTTTATCATTAAGCCACCAGTGTTCCCTGTTCTGTGTAGTATATACAATAAAATTCTAAAATAAAGTATTTTTCACGTAAAATTATTTTCCCAAATTAACAAATTGAAATAGTAAAGGAGTGTAACTTAATGTTATAAAATAGTCCTCAATCCTAAAAAAAAAAAGGAAACAAAAAATAAACCTCAGTGAAATGGTATGGTTTTTTATGCCTTAATGATTGAGGAAAGTTACTTTTTTTGATCTTGGACTTTTCACTGTATCTGCCTGTTGTTCTTACACTGATCATGGAAATTGCAGATTTCTTAGATTTACGCATATAGGTACTCTTCTTTATGGTCCTGTATATATGTCATATTGTAGTATAATGCATTCACAGTTTAAAAAATGTGTGTGTATTTTTGTGTGTGTGTATAAACATATATTTACATGTAATGATGTATCTTTCTCCTCCTGGAGAGTTCATACCTTGCCACTATCTATGCCATCAGTAGAGGAGCCTTTTCCTGTGCTTTTCTACATTTTCCTCCTGGAAATACCCATCTTCCTGCTGACAAGCACTCCAGAGTTGAAACTGTATTATCTATGTACTGAATCCAGACACACCAAACAGTACTTTTGCCGTGGAAAATATTAGAAACTGCTCTACTAGCTGGGTTTTCATTAAGTCATTTGACTTGTCATAAAATTGATAACCTGTGTTTTTCTATTAGAAATACAAATATATAATTTTTTATGTTTGCTAAAAAAATTACAGAATAAGAAGTTCAAAGTTAATGAAATTTTAACCAAGCTCTCAAAACTACTGCATTCTCCATGTAACGTTATTTTATTTTTAATTCAAAGCCATTAAAAATTCTTAAAATACTAACTTGGTATACTTTAGAAGCTTTTAACTCTTTTATCTTCCAACTTAAATTCCTACTCTTATTCTAATTTCTTTTTTTTTCCCTTTTCCTCTGCTAGTGGACATTTGGAAGCAATAAAAATAAGAAAAAAGGAAAAGCCAGAAAAATAGAAAAGAAAGGAACCATGAAGAAACAGGCCAACAAAACTGCCTCTTCAGGCAGTTCTGACAAAGACAGCTCAGCCGAGAGCTCAGCCCCCGAGGAAGGTAAGCTGGGGTAGTCCATACCTGGGTACTGAATTTCCACACTTGTCAAATTGAAAATACAAAATCAGAAGTAGGCAGACAAGTTTGCCAGCATTATAGAATGGCTTCTACCTTTAGAACCGTAGTCTGTAACTTTTCATGGTCCTGAATCTTTTCAGAGTCTGAATTTAGCTAGAAAAATGCATGTGGTTTTGAAGAATCAATGAGACCCTTGAAACACAGCAGTGACACTTGTGAGAAGTCTTGTATTAAAGTCTCTTGATTATATGAAGTGTTACTAAGGAAGAGAATTCTTGAGCCAAAAAAGAAACTCAATAGAAAATATTTTGGGTGTTTTTTTAAAAAGACCTATACCAGAGTCTTTTGTTAAATTATAACAACATTTATTACAAATTGACTTGTGTAAAATTGGCCAAACCTGGTTTTAAGTATGTCTCTGTGAATGGTAGCCCAAATTCAGGCAAACACAGTTCTTAATAATTACTGCTTAAGACTCATTTTAAAAAAATAATATATACTGCCTTTTTTAGTATTATGCTTTGTTCTGTTGTGATCCAAAGTCATTGGGAATTCAAAAGCCTAAAGTTTAATGACACATTAAAACATTGGGTGGTATTTAGTGCCTACCAATAGCTCTGATAGCCTAGTGGTAAAAAGCTGTATTCTGATTTCAAAGACACATTGTTCAAATATACCAGCTGCTCTGAGGAAGATGTGTGGGGAATCTCCTTCCATGCAATTTACTGCCTCTGAAAATCTCACTGAAGATCAGCTTTGAGTCGGTTTTCATTCAGCGACATGCAGCAAGACGGGAATACTGTGTTTTTTTGTGTTTCACAGACATGACATGTTTTACATATTGAAAGTTTCTGGCAACCTTTCATCATTTAAGTCTTTTGACACTATTTTTTTTTTAAATGTGCTCACTTCATGTCTCTGTCACATTTTGGTAATCCTCACAATAGTACAAAGTTTACCTCACAATAGTACAAAATTTATTATAATGCCATTACACACTTAGTAAACTACAGTATATTATAAACAACTATTATGTGTAGTTGGAGACCAAAAAAAATTATGACTCATTGTAAATTTGTCGTCTGGAATGAAACCTGCAGTATTTCCTGGTATATCTGTAAATACAGGAAAAATGATAGTGTTAGGAAAATTATCTGTTTTTCAACACGCTAGCAATGACTTACTCTTCAATAATCATCATTTCTCTTTTAATCATCTTTCTTTGTCACCATTATGGTGCATATGAACATCCTGGCTGACAGTCGTAGGAGTGTGAATAATGCTGAGAAGGCAAATGAGAGGTTCTTAGTCAATACTCCATAATAAGTGTTCAAATGTTTCCCAGTGTGATAGCTTTTAAAAGGACACGATCACTTATGTAATATTCTTGCTAAAAATGCATGATCTGAATAATTCCATGATAAACTGACCAACCCAAATTGGGAGATATTTTATTACTATGGCTATTTAAAGGTAAATTAATAAAAGTGAAATAAAATTAAGAATTCAGTTCATCATTTGCACTGCCCACATTTCAGGAGTTTAGCCACATGTGGTTGGTAACTCTTTTATTGGACAGATCTGATGGTATTTTCATCATCACCACAGAAAATTCTGTGGGACAATGCTGTTCAATAAAACAGTAGGCCTATATGCTTTAAGGATTTTGTGAAAATGAAAGAAAAAGGCTTCACATAAAAGTATACTAGACGACGAGCTCTGGTGGCCTAGTGGCAAGAAGCTGCAACTACAGTCTCAGAGGTGCACAGTTCAAATCCACCAGATGCTCTGCTGGAGAATGAGGAACAATCTCCTCCTGTACCAGTCAGATCTGATTTGACGGTACACACAAAAAATGATGAAATAAAATAAATTTTTTAAAAAAAGTATACTAGACAAGGTAACTAAATGCAATGCATGATCCTTATTGGCTCCTCCTTTGGATATTGGGCTGGGGGGAAAGGCCTATAAACACAATACTGGAGAAACTGTAAAATTACAACGTGAATTAGGTAATGGCTTTGCATTGATGTTATATTTCCTGTAATTATTGTTATATTTTCTGTAATTATATGATTAGTAATGCTAGCATGTTTTTAGGATAAAGATTCAGTAAATTTTTGTTTGGTTAAATAACTTATACATAATTTTTATTTATATAGAAATCATTTACAGTATTAACAATAAGTAAATCTAAATAAAGAATACATAAGCATAAAAATATTCTTATAACTTTTTTCTGTAAGTCTAAACTTTTTTCATAATAAGAAGTTAAACTATAAAGAACAAGCTTGTTTCTTGTTCTAGCCTAAACTTTTATTTGCATTTACTGAAAACAAACCCCAGAGGAGTTGAGATGGCAATGTACCACTTCACTTGGAAGAGTGATTACTTTGAGGGGTCACGTATATCCTCATTTTTCTGCAACATAGTCTAATCTTGTATTTGGTCCTCTGTTGCAGGTGAAGTATCAGATTCTGACAGCAATAGCTCCTCCTCCAGCTCAGATTCAGACTCTTCCTCCGAAGATGAGGAATTCCATGATGGCTATGGAGAGGACCTAATGGGTGATGAGGAAGACAGGGCCCGCCTGGAACAAATGACAGAGAAGGAGAGAGAGCAGGAACTGTTCAACCGCATAGAAAAGAGGGAGGTGTTGAAAAGAAGGTAAAATTTTGGTGATACTGCAACTTATCTTTTCCCTTCTATCCTTTGGACATCCCCCTTTCATTAGTATCTGGCTTTTATATAGAAACTCAAACTTACAGATAAGATTAACATAATGCAAAGCATGTATTAAAGTGAACACATTTATTGTTTACTCAATACCTTTGACTTTGCTAATATACATTATTCACAAAGTATCCATGAGAAATTATTTATAGGCACTGTCTTAATCTTCTTAACATCCTTTGAAATTGGTTTTATGAATTTAGAAAGGTGAGACTTTAGACTTCAGATCATTAAGTAGGGGTATACTCCATGAAAGCAAAGACTTGGTCTGTTTTGTTCACTGCTCTGTTTCTGACTTCTCAGTGTCTAACACATAACACTGAATGTTTGTTCAGTGAGTGAACGAAGCATCCTGCCTGAGGTCATTTAGCTGGTAAAGTGGTAAGAACTTATTGGCAAACTGAGGACCATCTGACCCTATACACTGTGGGGCAACATTCTCTCCTGCCTAATATTTCCTATTATTTTATATATTTTAAAGTAGATGCTCAACATGTAGCATTTTAAGGAATCATAACCCCAAAATAAACTAAACCTACTGCTGATAGAGTTGATCCTGACTGATAGCAACTCTATAGAGCTGTCCTGTAGGGATTCAAAGGCCCTAAATATTTGTAGAAGACTGTATCATCTTTCTCCCTCACAGTGGCTGGTGAGCTTATATTAGGTTGGTAAGTGAAGAGATTTTGTTTATCCCTTCAGATAAAGATTGGTACATGATTTGGTTTTCGTTGAGCAAAAGGCTGTTGTTATGTGCCTTCAAGTCGCCTGTGACTCATAGTAATCCTATGTACAACAGCTCTGAAGCCTGCCCTGTCCTGAGCCAGTCTCACTGACTGACACACTCATCCAATTGCCCTAGTTAACTGTATCAATCCATCTTATCCAGTGACTTGACTTCCTCTCTTGTGCTAACCCTCCACCCTCTAGGCATGATGTTCTTCTCCAAAAATAGGTCCTTCCTGGCCACATGCCCAAAAAGTATGTGAGACAGAGCTTCAAAATCGTACCCTCCATGGAAAAACTTTGTTTCACTCTCTCCAAGACACACCTGTTTGTTTTCTTGTCAGTCCTTGGTATGTTCAAGACTCTTCTCCAGCACCATAACTCAAAGGCATCAATACTTCTGTCATCCTTAATCATTGTCCAGCTCTCTGATGCACCGCAACTAATTGCAAAGACTGAGGCACACCTTAGTCTCTAGATTGACATCATTCCTTCTCAGTAGCCTTGGCAAGGTCCCTGACAACAAATTTACCTAATGTCTTCATTTCTAATCTGAATTCATTAATTTTTTTAAGTAATATGTAAGCACAATCTTTTTCCATTTGTTAATTTCCAGGGATTGACCTATCTCAGAGACATTCTCTGAGATGTATCTGTTCTGATCTATCATTTCTTTCACCTTAAAAAAAAAGTAAGCATATCAAATAATATAAAAATGAACTCAACTACTAGTGCTTTGCTGCTTTGCTTTTTTAAATTGACTTTAAATTTTCAAGCTCTCCATTCTAAATTCATTTACAAAGTTAACGTTTAGAACTAGTTTTCTAAAAAGAAAAAAAACAAAACTAGTCTTCTCATCCAGAGCAAAAGAAAATTAAACAAATAGACTGAGAGGAGAAACTAGTCTATAAGACTAGAAAAGCATTTCTGTGTCAAGTTTTAAAATAGATGGTTTTCAGGAAAAGCTACGTCCTCTTAATGAAGGTAGTTAGAGTGGAAAGAACACTGGACCAGTGTATAAACCACAGCCTCATCTATCCTGGGAGTAATATCAACCATTCTGATCAGATCACAGTCATGGTATGCAGGTCCTACTCTAAAGGGAGAAAAATGTAGAACAGAACTCAAATTCTTTTTTTTTTCCTGAAAGGTAAGTTTACCATATACATGATCATACAATGAATTAGTAAAGGATTTACATTAAGCTGATACCAGATAACAGCCAAAAGACAGTAAGTTAGTATTTGTTTCACTTTTCAATATTCATTACTTTCAAAATCCCAGCAGAAGCATTATGTAAATCAATATTTAATCTCCGTTCATATGCCCTTCACGTTTAGTGGTCTTCTGCATCTCCTTTAATGAGAATTTGATACTAGTTAAAGTCTTCTGGGGTTTTTGTTTTATTTTTTTAGTTTTAGTTTTTAAGAGGGTTTTGCACTTAAGGCTAGCATCTTCCCAAGTTCATTGGAATCAGACATCTTGCCTTATGTACTTTAGTTGTTGAATGTCTAAGGTAATAAATTAGCATCTGTATTTATGCAATCTCTAAAGATGAGATTCAAATAATAAGAACTTTTAACAGTAATTCAGTAGCAGAATAGGACATTATGCAAGTAGAACAGATCAAATAAGCAAATGTAGTAAAAATTGGAATTAACAACAAACCTAAGTTTGACAGTACAAGAGCAAATTACACTCAGAGAAGAAGAAAAAAAAAGAGCAAATTACAGCTCTGATAGATTAAGTGACTCAAACACTGATTCTCTCATTTCTCATTTTAAATATGAGTCCCTTCTCCAAATCCTAGGCAATATCTGATTTACTTAGTCTGTAGATTTGCCTATTCTGGACATTTTGTATAAATTAAGTCATAAAATATGAAGCATTTTATATCTAGTTTTTCTCATTTAGCATGTTTTCAACGTTCACCCATGTGTAGCATGGATATGTCAGTACTTTTGGTGTTTTTTAAGGGTTGACTTTTTGTTTCATCAATTATCTCTCTCTTCTGTTTAGTTGATTTCCACTCAATCTTGGTTAGTTCCTTGGAAATCTTTGTTCTTTTTAAATATTAACACCCACAAATTTCCCTCTCAGCACTTCTTTAGCTGTATTCATTTCATTCATCTTAAAGTATTTTATTAGAGTCTTTTAGTCTGTCAAGTTCCTTAACTTTATAATACTTTGTAAGAACCTGATTTTGGTACGGGGAGAGAGACTAGATTGTGTTTAAATAAGAGAACAGCATATTTATCCGCTTGTTTATAAAGAATAGGGTAATATTTTTTCTAATGAAGAAAACTAGAAAGTGATGTTTTAAAATATAGCTTTTATCCTGACGACCTTAAATGTCACATTGGCTCTCTTTGGCCTGTGTCTAGTAGACAACCATTGGAGTTTAGTTTTACCTACTAGGTTGATCTCACAATCAGTTGTTTTCTTCTAAAATGCAAATGTCTAGGGAGAGTTGTATATTAGCAAGAAAAACTGAAGTGTAATACAGCAATGTCATGATTGTTTCCATTTGCTTTTTTGTGTTTTCTTTTGTTTTTTAATTTTACATTGGTTTGCATACAAAGTTCATATATATATTTTTTTTAAAGTTCATATATATTGTGTATCACACTTTCTTTCATACAATTATCCTCATTCATTATGTTTTATAAAATCAATCCCCTTTGAACCATGCCCATCATGACCTTGTCCTTCCAGATCCCTGTTGGATCTTTCCTATTTCCTTTTCCCTCCTCCTTCCTATTTCCATCTTCTCTAAGTTTCTTTTTAATGTAATACATTAAAATATTTGGTTATAGTTCTGTGCAGTGATGGCAAAAAGTTTAATAACTCCCTTTAACTTACATAATTTTCCCTATCTAATAGAAGTAAGACTTTACAAATAGTCACTGTTATTCAAAAACCAAACAATATCTTAACCAGATTTGAAATCAAGAAAAAACTAAAAACAGCCAAAAAGAAAGAGAAGAAGGAGAAAAAGAAAAAGCAAGAAGAGGAGCAAGAAAAGAAAAAGCTAAACCAGATTCAGGAATCTCAGGTAAGAAATTCAGTGACCCTCTTGACCCAAAAAAGAGTAAGACCTTTATTTTGAGTGTATGTTTGTGTAAAAGGTTTATATTAATCAACTGAAGTCAATAATTCAAAGATTTTAAGTCATAGATAAATAGGGAGGGAGGGAGGGAAGGATAGAGGTTGGTTAGTTTCAGTTAATCTCTAGACATTTATCTTTTCATACTTTACTACACTCACTATTTAAATCCTAAAGACTTCATTACCCAAGTCTGCTTTTAAAAAGCAGCCAAGGGACTCTGGTGGCCTAATGGCAAGAAGTTGCACTGAAATCCCAGAGGTACACAGTTCGAACCCATGAGATGCTCTTCTGGAGAAGGAGGGACAGTCTCCTCCTATAAAAGTCAGATCCAATTTGACAGTAAACACAGAAAAAAATAATAATTTTTTTTTTAAAAGCGGCCAGTTGGTCTGTGGCTGACTTTTAAGGGAAGATTGGTAAGCCTCCTTTCCCAGGTAGCTAAGTGGATTATGATGTTCACTCAAGTGTAAGTCCTCTTGAACTTGGGAAAATTGGTCGTCTCTGCATTAATCAAGAACTTTATTGATAATATCAACCAATAATAGTTGTGATTTAAGATGTTCTTCAAAGAAAGATTTATTCTGATGTCCTAAACTTGTTTTCTGTTAGATGAGACAGGATGATTTTATTGCTCTTTCATCTTTGTCCACAAGAGGATGTTCTCTCTCCTTATTCACTTCACATTCACATTAGAGGACTGGGTCTGATTAATTGCTGGGTATAAAGAATCTCATCATCAGTTGATAAAAGGAACTTTCACGCATGTTCTCCTCTTCCCAGGTAACATCCCACAACAAGGAACGGCGTTCTAAACGGGATGAGAAACTAGATAAGAAATCTCAAGCCATGGAGGAGCTGAAAGCAGAAAGAGAAAAACGGAAGAACAGAACAGGTAATGGGGAATGTAATGACTTAGGATTTTGAGCATATGGTTTGGTAAATCCCACCATCATATTATTTCAAATATGAAGTTTTCAGTATGGATCCCTAAGAGAAGAGTTCTTGAAATATAATTATTTTATTTGCAACACTGAATTCATCATTAACATCACCAACTATCTAGTGCTAAAGTTCCTCTAGTTTTTTTAATTTTTTTAATCAGAATTTTTCATAAAGTCTACATATGGTGATTTGTTAATATATTTCTTAAATTTCTACTCTATAGATTTTCCTTTCTATCTTCCCTCCTACTCTAGCAGTTTTATTGGCTGAAGAAACTGGATCATTTTTGCTATAGTTACCAGCAAGATGCTCTGCATCCAGTTGTTGTCATTGAATGTGTTAATATCTCTTGAGCCTTAAAATGATAGATCTAGAGGTTTGGTCAGATTTCTGTTTGACTTTTGTCTTGTTTGGTTTTTATCCTTCTATTTTCTTTTTTTTTATCCTTTTTATTCCTCCCTTGTGTACCTTCGAGTCGGATCCAACTGGCACAGGAGATTGCCCCTCCTTCTCCAGCATAGCATCTGGTGGCTTTGAACCACACGCCTTGGGGATTGCAGCGCAGCTCCTGCCACTAGGCCACCAGAGCTCCCTTTGTCTTGTTTTATTTGGCTTTTGGTGAAGCTGGTTCTTAGTTGGTGGTGTATACTTCCATCTGGAGGCACACATCTTATTTTATGATATTATCAGCCTTTAACCACAGTAATTCAGTGTGACATAGTACACCACATTTAGATATATAGTTTCATGTTCCTACTCAAATATCTGCAGCTTACCTGAGGGTTTTATATGCCCTGAGTATAATAAAAGACATCTATCAGGAGTAGTGGTGACTCTTTTTGTAAAGTAAGTAACACTCTTCCAGCCTCTTTTTATCTTCTTTTTTCCTGTCGAAGGCCTGTTTGGTACTTGAATGATTTTATCACTCTGTCTTTCTCACTATCTCCCACGTTATCATAAACTAGTACAGGGCAAGTAGAACTGTACATTTGAGTCCTTTTCCCAGTTATATTTCTTTCTTACAAATCAAAGAGGTTTCCATATATTATTGAGAAAAGCGAATAAAGATTTCCCTTTCTTCTCAGCTGAGCTCCTTGCCAAAAAGCAGCCATTAAAAACCAGTGAAGTATATTCTGATGATGAGGAAGAAGAGGAGGATGACAAATCCAGTGAAAAGTCAGATCACTCTTCCCGAACATCATCATCTGATGAAGAAGAAGAGTAAGCTGTGTATATTTTGATCTAGTAGTCAGCATTGGTGGGCCCTATGAGGAAAAGCTCAGAAAAGGTTCTAAAATATACCTGTGTATGCCATATACTTTGGTTTAGTACCTTGAATTGCTAAACTGAGTTCTCCAGCACATCGACCCATTGATTTCTTCTGCCATTGGCTCTTAGTCTATATCCCTAATCTTTTTATCTGGGCCTAAGGGTAGCAACTGATAGTGTGTCACTTTTCATTTGGCCAGCTTTCAGTAGTTACCTTTTTTTTTTTTAGTAGTTACCTTTATTAAATTTCATACAGAACAGTTCACATTACTGGTTAGGAAGGGAATTCTACCTTCCTGGCACTTCATTTCTTACTCCTGTAGGTTAATCACATATACTTTGGGTAAATTTTGAGAAATAAGTATTCTTGATCTGTATTTAGGATAAACTTTTGCCCAATGTATCTTTATTCCTTCTAGGAAAGAAGAAATCCCACCAAAATCACAACCAGTCTCCTTACCTGAAGAATTAAATCGAGTTCGGTTGTCACGGCATAAGCTGGAACGCTGGTGTCACATGCCCTTCTTTGCTAAGACCGTCACAGGGTGTTTTGTACGAATTGGCATTGGAAACCACAACAGCAAACCAGTGTACAGGGTTGGTTTTTTTTCCTTTGCTCTATATTTTAAATATAATTATCAGCTGGGGGGTACAGGCTTCTGAACAGATTTGTTGCTCTTCTGCCATCATTTCACTTGAAAACAGGCTCCAACTGAGCTGCCTACAGAATAGTGACATTCTGAAGTGGCCAAGGATCATGCATGACCTGCTGCCAAAAAAAATACTTGGAGTCCAAGGGATGGGTGGGTTTAGATTGAAAACCATTTTCTCTATCCTCCTTCAGTTTAAAAGGGAGAAGGGATATACTCATGAAATGTTTGATGAACGTTTAATAATCTAGATGGTTTATTCATTTGAAAAATAAATACATGGGGATACCCTGTGTTGTGTTCCAAATGACGTCTGAACCAGGAAACTGTACTGATACTGTGTTAGCTATTTCTTGTTGTTATTGTAGAGGTTTAGCACTTCTAATATGGTCTTGATGGTTCAAACATAGCTGATTTTTTTTTTTAATTATGATTTTAACATAAGTTTACTGAAAAATTGGATTGCTGTTTGACTTCTGGGTTTTTTGGTGTGGGTTTTTTTGGGGTGTTTTTGTTTTTTTTTGCTGTATGAGGTTTAACTTTTTTTGTCATTATTCTTAACTATCTGGTTTTCACAGTTTTAGCTATTTCTGTGAGATACATACCATGGAAAAGTTTGGCCACAGAAAGTGCCCTTGGGAACTTTCATATTTGCTTGATAAAAACTGACTCTAGTCCCAAGTGCATCCCTTAGGAAAGTAAAATTAGGTTGGATGGGAAGGCCTTAGTAGGCCCCACCAAGCTGCTCCTGGAGCTCACATAGCCTGGCCTCAGAGCTAACCATGCTTTTTGCCAACTGAGCTTTAAAACAAAGTGATGCCTGGAACACCTGGTAGCCTCTGGCTTCTTTTCATGTGGGGCAGCTCATCTACACTATATATGGGTAGTGATTTTTGTAATTTAGGTTGACTCTAAACAAGTCAGCCCCTTACTTATAGCAACCCTCTCTATTGCAGAGTAAAACTATCCCATAACATTTCCTTCGCTGTACTCTTTACAAACTGTTTGCCAGACCTTTTCTTCTTCTGAGCCATTGCATAGGTTCAAACTGCTAACATTTAAGCTGTCAATCACTTGTGCTACTCAGATCCCTGTATATTCAGTAGAGCCAAAGGAAGAGTGTTGTGAAGAGCTCTTACAATCTGTTTTTAGTAATTATCTCTCCTTGTCACTTAGGTAGCTGAGATCACGGGTGTTGTGGAAACTGCCAAAGTTTACCAGCTGGGTGGCACCAGAACAAACAAAGGGCTGCAGCTACGGTAAGAGTGATACTCCTGTGGCAGCATCTGCTTCTGCTTCAGATAAGCACAATAAGGGCGTCCCTTATTGTATATTACTTTTCCTGTCATCCAGTTTATATATTATTAATTTTTACCCCCTTCTCCTTCCCTCTCCATCCTTGTTAATCCTACAAGATTGAGTCTGTATAAACCTTACCTTAGCTTTTCATAATAGTTGTTTTATAGTATAATTGTTTTATTTATGACTGATTTTTGTCCTTTAGCATAATTTGTTTAGATTCATAAATTTTATGCCACTCTCTTGTAATGTTGCTGATATCTATTTTCTTCTTTTCTGCTGTTTAGTGTTTATATTTGGTTTTTATTCTTTATGGTTTCCACTTTTTTGTTTTGATGGAGAAGTTCTTGGTGACCCAAAGACACTATTTCATTCCTAAGGTTAAAATAATTCACTTTACCTTGAAATCTCCTCTCTATTTAAAAATTATATAACTAAGAGAACCCTGGTGCCTAGTGGCAAGAAGCTGCATTCCAATCCCAGAGGTGCGCAGTTCAAATCCACTAGATGCTCTATTGGAGGAGGAGGGGCAGTCTCCTCCTGTACCAGTCAGATCTGATTTGACGGTACACACACTTCTATTGGAGAAGGAGGGGCAATCTCCTCCTGTACCAGTCAGATCTGATTTGACAGTACACACACACAAAAATTAATTTTTTTAAAAAAAAAATTTTTATTTTATTATTTTTGTGTGAGTGTACCGTCAAATCAGATCTGACTGGTACAGGAGGAGATTGTCCCTCCTTCCCCGGCAGAGCATCTGGTGGAAAAAATAAAAATTTTTAAAAAAATTCTATAACTAACTACACTTTTTTTTAATAACTGAAACCTCTGGTTTCCTATTTTTAGTGTTATTTGTTTATTATCCATTGTGCACTTGTGTCTGAGTCAATTTCTAAATGATGTTGTCATGTATATTAATGTCTGATTATTTTCTCCCTTTGGTTCTTAATCCAAAAAAGATCTCTTGGATTTCTTGTAGTTTTGGTCTAGTTTTCACAAATTCTCTTAGTTTCTATTTATCTGGAAATATCCTAAATTTGCACTCATAGTTGATGAATAATTCTGTTGGCTATAGAATCTTGATTGGCTGTTTTTTCGTTAAGTCATCTTGTGTTTTCTTATCTGCACGGTTTATGCTAAAATATCAGAATTTACTCTTATTTGTTCTCCTTTGTAGCCAATTCTGTTTTGCCTGAGATGCTTTCAGTATTCTTTCTTTGCCTTTAATTTTTAAAAACTTGATTATAATAAATCTTGGGGTTTATCCTGTTTGAGATTTGTTCAGCTTCTTGAATGAATTTTTTTCCCTCATTTTTCATACTGTTTCAGAAAGTTCTACCAGCAAATCTTCAATGATTTCTTTTGTACTTTGTCTCTTATTATTCAGAATTCCAATCACATGGAAGTTATTTCTTTTGAATATGTTCTTATATTTCCCTTCCTTCCTTTTTCTGATTGTCTTCTAATGGTTTGAGCTCTTAGTGGGACTTGCACAGCTTACCCAAAAGTAGCACCTCTCTGGTGGTTCAAATCCACCAGTCACTCCACAGGAGAAGATAGGTAATCTCCCCTCCTGTGCAATTTAAAACCTTAGAAAACCTGCTAGAAGGTCAATTGTGCATCAATTCCAATTCAACAGTGATGAGTTTGAGTCCTATGAGATTACTTTTTTTTTAATTTAGAAAAACAGTTCTCTCCCTCATCTCTTTCAATGCAGTATACATTATTTATTCTCTCTTTCTCAACCTTCCCTCAACTCCAATGTCAATCTCGTTTAACAACAGTGACCCTATTCAGTATTTTTCCTTTTGTGACTGAGATATTTTACTCAGCATAATGTCCTCCAGGGTCACTCATTTTGTGTAATATTTCATGAGTTCCTTGTTTTTCAATGCAGCATAGTATTTCATTGTATGAATATACCAGAGCTTCTCTATCCATTCATTTGTTGATGGGCACTTGGGTTGTTTCTAGCTCTTTGCTATGATGAACAAAACTGCAATAAACATGGGTGTGCATATATCTGCTTGGGTGGCGGTTATGGTTTCTTTGGGGTATATTCCCAGTAGTGGAATTGCTGATTCAAATGGTATTTCTATTTGCAACTTTTTGAGAAAGTGACACACAGCCTTCCATAGTGGTTGCACCATTTTACACTCCCACCAACAGTGGATGAGGGTTCCAGTTTCTCCACAACCTCACCAGCATTTGATGTTTGCTGTTCTGTTAAACTTTGCCATTCTTACTGGGGTGAGATGATACCTCATAGTTGTTTTGGTTTTTTACTTGTCTAAAGGAAGAATTCAAGATACTGATACTGAAGAGCTGGACAGAAGATTTCAAAAGGTAGCGCAGGATGACAAAGTAAAATATTGCAATGAAATGTGCAATGAGCAGGAGTCAGAAAATCAAAAGGGCCGAACTTGCTCAGCATTTCTTTTTTTTATTTTTGTTTTTATAAATTTTTTTAAATTTTATTATTTTGTGTGTGTCTGTACCGTCAAATCAGATCTGACAGGTACAGGAGGAGATTGCCACTCCTTTTCCGACAGAGCATCTGGTGGATTTGAACCACATATCTCTGGGATTGCAGCGCAGCTTCTTGCCACTAGGCCACCAGAGCTCCCCTAGCATGTCTTAAGCTCAAATAACTGAAGAACAAATTCAAACCTCGAGTTGCTATAATCAAGGATGCTTTAGGCAGAATATTAAATGATCCAGGAAGTATTAAAAGAAGATGGAAAGAATATACTGAGTCACTGTATCGAAAGGAATTGGCAGACACAAAAGAATTTCATGAAACAACATATAAGCAAGAGCCTATGGTGATGAAGGAAGAAGTTCAAGCTGCTTTGAAGGAAATAGCAAAAAATAAGGCCCCAGGAATAGATGGTATACCAGTTGACATATTTCAGCTAACAGATGCTGCCCTGGATGTGCTTACCAAGTTGTGCCAAGAAATCTGGAGAACAACCACTTGGCCAACTGACTGGAAGAGATCTATATTTGTTCCCATCCCAAAGAAGGGTGACCCAACACAGTGTGGAAACTATAGAACAGTATCATTGATTTCACATGCAAGCAAGATTCTACTGAAGATTATCCAAAAACAACTGGAACAGCACATTAGTAGAGAACAGCCAGAAGTCCAGGCTGGGTTTAGAAGGGGTAGCCCCCAAGGTGCCAGATGTTAAGCTTCAGCGCAAGAGCATGAGTTTGCATATAACTGGGGCCTCAGCCCACTGCAGGTGGCCCTTTTGTGGGGAATAATATTGGAATTTTTACAGTTCTTCCTAGGTAATTCTAAAGGATAATCAGAATTGAGACCCTCAGAGAAAGCATAGTTTGATGGGGTTGCTTGCTGATACTGTGGTCTGTATGCACATGTTTCAAGATGCCTTTTTTTTAATATAGGCATGGAAATGACCAACGAGTGTTCCGCCTAGAGTTTGTCTCAAACCAGGAATTCACTGAAAGCGAATTCATGAAGTGGAAAGAAGCAGTAAGTAAAGAGACTGTCTACTAAGTGTTCGTGAAAATTCTAAAATTCCTATTAGTAATCATTTATCATGTTTTGGTCCAGATGTTCTCGGCTGGCATGCAGTTGCCCACTCTAGATGAAATCAATAAGAAGGAATTGTCGATTAAAGAAGCTCTTAATTATAAATTCAATGACCAGGACATTGAAGAGGTAAGCTACCTGATACCCGAGAACCTAGAGGTTTATTAAAAACCGCTCTTTTGAGAAAATCATAATTTTCTTCACATTATGTCTTAACTATGTCTTTAGCTATGCTCTTTCACATTAAGATGAAAGAATATTACTACTGTTGTTGATTGCTGTTTTATTATTCAGTTCATGATATTTCATATGTATCAAAAAAAAAGTTAAACCCTTGCTGTCAAGTCTAATTTTGGCCTCTCTATAGGAGTACCACTGCTGCCCCTAGCTTCCAAAGCTATAGTCTGTGCAAAAGCTGACTGCCACATCTTTTTCTCACAGAAGGGGAGGTGGGCTTAAACCCCCAACCTTTAAGTGAGCAGGCAAGCACTTTGGCCACTGTCACCAAGCCTTTATCATACATTCTCATTCAAAATCGTAGGAACCTATATTTCTAAATACTCTGCTAGATTTAATCCTTCAAGGATTTTCTTTCTCCAAAACATTTTGGTAAAATTCTTTGATCTCTGTTCTTTTGGACAGTGGATAGCCTTACAGTACCAGGCCTTTGGGGTGCTGCTGTTTATTGGTGCATATGCCTTCAGACTGTCCCAGAAGAATCTCCATGACCCAGGAAGCAGCGTGGTGTCTCTTGGAATGAAGTGGCTTACTCTCTGGGGCATGACACCGCCATAGGAAGAGCAGCTCCCTTTTAACTAACTACTTAACTTCAAAATGGGCTCACTTAGCCTGTCTGCAAATGTAGCTTAGAAATGCCTCACTGCTGGTGTCTCCTCTCTGATACAGATTGTAAAAGAAAAAGAAAGGTTCAGAAAAGCTCCTCCCAACTATGCTATGAAGAAGACTCAACTGCTAAAAGAAAAGGTAAGAACTTGAATTCTAGCATCTTTCTGTACCCTATAAATAAAACTTACTCCATCCTCTTAGTGTGGCAAAATTGGGAGAAAGTTCTGGATTCAGTTATAAGCAACACAGCGCTTCCTAATTACCTGGGTGACATTCCTTAAGAGACCCCAAGGTAGTAGTTAACACTAAGTCTGAACAGACAATTAATGTTGTCAAGCCCAGATGTGGTGAGTGTTTATCATCAAGATAAGATGAGCCTTGTTATGGTGCATTAGCCATATGATGCCTGGGTTCTAAACTTGATGTTGATACACATCCTAGAGCCATGCAGCTCCATGGGAAGGCACGACTGCTGTAATAAAAAGCATGCTTTGCATTTGTAAAGTACTTTGTGTTTTTTTCATACCTCCTATAATATACTCTTCACGTGAGCTATCTTCCATATGCTGGACGTAAAGGAAGACTTGATGTAGGACTAGTTAGAGCCAAGAACTCTTCAATTTCTCTTATTTACAGGCTATGGCTGAGGACCTTGGGGATCAGGACAAAGCCAAACAAATTCAGGACCAGCTGAATGAGCTGGAGGAACGTGCAGAAGCCCTGGACCGCCAGCGGACCAAGAATATATCTGCCATCAGGTGTGTAACAGAGCTTGTCAAGAATAAGTCTGAAGGGAGCTCTGGTGACCTAGTAGCAAGAAGCTGTGCTATAATCCCGAAGGCACGTGGTTCAAATCCACCAGATCCTCCTGTTCCAGTCAGATCCAATTCTGTGGCACACAACAATAACAACAAAAGAATAAGGCTGGATCTTTATCCTTTGATTACAGACCTTTTCCAGAATAATCAGGCAAATCTGTGACCTTGTATACACTGTGCTTCACTGACTCCACATATCTATAGGGAAGTGTTCAGTTCCCTCCTTTTTGCAGTCCATTGACTCATCCCTTTTACTCATTCCATAGTTACATCAACCAGCGTAACCGAGAGTGGAACATTGTAGAGTCTGAGAAGGCCCTTGTGGTGAGTAAAAGCAACGTTTTCTGTGGTGATCTAAAAGGTTTTCATTGGCTAGTTATCAAATGTTTATCTCCAGGCTCTTCTTCCTGGTCTTTGGAAACGCTGCTAAAACCTATCTATCATGGGTGAGTCCCTGTTATTTGACATACAGTTAGTGCATTTTCCAGTATCACACCAACAGGTGAACCACTACAGTACAGCAAACTCAAAGACAGATTGTATGCATATATGTGTATGTGTGTGTATATATTAATACACATACATACACACACACACCCATAAAATTTTACCAATATATAATGGACGACTGTAATCTGAAAAGGGTTAAACCGGGTGGCTCCTTGGAGGCAAGGATTCTGAGGCTCCGTCTAACATACTTTGGACATGTTGTGAGGAGAGACTGGTCCTTAGAGAGGGACATCATGCTTGGGAGGGTGGAGGGACAGCACAGGAGAGGAAGGCCCTCTATGAGGTGGATTGATTCAGTGACTGGGATAATTGGGATGGGAGTGTCAGAGACAGTGCGATTGGCACAGGACAGAGTGGAGTTTAGGGCTATTGTACATAGGGTCGCTATGAGTCGCAAGTGACTCAACGGCACATAACAACAACAACAACAACAATCTTTTGCCCACCTTATTCATTCCTACCCTTGAATTCCACCCAATTTCTGTTTTCATTTCTTTGGTTATTTTCCCAAATCTACTCTGATGTTCTTGAAAAAAAATTGATCTTTCACTCCTTTTAGATACTGCTGTTAAGATGTAAATTTATGATAGACAGGAGAAGGAGATAAAGGTTTATAATGCATCCTCTGTTTCAGGCTGAGAGTCACAACATGAAAAACCAACAGATGGATCCCTTTACCAGGCGGCAGTGCAAACCTACCATCGTTTCTAACGTAAGTATCTAAGGAGGACATTTTTAGTCAGGACCTAGATTCTGGGACATAAATTAAGTTCCATTAAGAGATTAATAAAGAAGTTAAAAATAATGTTGTCTTACCTGGGATTTGATTGCCTTGAGCTCTTGGGTCTGAAGACTTCCTTTTTTTATCTTGCTATAAGCTGTCTGTGAAAAACTGACATGGGTTCATAAAAACCTTTTGTACTAGGGTGGGTATGCCAGCACAGCAATTATGTAGACTGGGTCACCCAGGCAATATTTGGTGGGGTTGGGTTTTAAAGCTTTTTCTTTTTCTTTCTTTTTCTTTTTTCTTTTCTTTTTTTTTTAGCATAACATAGTAAAAGATAAATTAGAAAGTTACATCCCAAAGGGATGGACTTCCATATTTGACATATGGAGGGGAAGCCTGGGTTTTAATTGTCTTTTTGCTGTTTTGAGAAAAACCCCTACTTCACTGTCAGTGGGTTGGTCCACTATGATACTTGACATTAGTAGGTGTGAAAAAATCTTAAAGGAGGACTGTGTAGTATATGTTAAGCATTCTGTAATATAATTTATTTTCTCTCCCAGTCCAGAGACCCAGCTGTTCAAGCTGCCATCTTAGCCCAGCTGAATGCAAAATATGGTTCTGGAGTGCTACCAGATGCTCCAAAGGAAATGAACAAGGCAAGTGCAGTACTGTCCTGTGGCCTGCTGAGCTCTGCCCCTGGGCAGAACACTAGAACAAGTACCCTGCCTAGTTTGGGCTAAGTTTTCCTTGAAAAAAATGATCTTTCTCTTTGTCCATTTACATCTATTACAAGTATAATAAACTGCTCCTATATTTTAAAGTTGTAGTCTAAATTTCAAATCTGACTACTTAACTAGATCCTTGACTGTGACTTCAGCAGATGTCTTCTGACCCAGTGGTACACAATTCCTCTTCTGTAAACTGAAATATTAGATTCTCCTCTTCCTTCACAGAGTAACTGTTAGGAAAAGTTAATGTATAAGAATCAAATGATTGTGAAAGTGAAATAAATGTTAAAGACAGAAAGTGCCCATTTAGAAGTAGTTTTCTTCCTGGGGTAGGCTTTTCCTGTGGAACTACTTTGCCCAAGAATTATTGAGATATTAGGACAGAAGGTAGCTCATCCTAAATCCACCCCTCTACAGGCAGGCATTAGTCTTCTCTATTCTCTTTCAGGAATTAGAGCTTTAGTGGGAAGATGTAAAGAATTTGAGCAAGATCTTTTTCCATTAGTGACTGCTGCTTGAATTTACAATTAGGTTTTCTCTTATTGCAGGGTCAGGGAAAAGATAAAGATTTGAATTCTAAGTCAGCCAGTGACCTCTCAGAAGACTTGTTCAAAGTACATGATTTTGATGTAAAGATTGATTTACAAGTTCCCAGCTCAGGTAAGTGAGGGTTGGGGAGTGAGTGGTTCCAGCATAAGACCAAATGGATCATTGATTTCTTCTGGCAAACAGGAATTCTTAGAAAAGAAATAGGAGTGTCTGCTCATCATTGTCTAGAGGTACTTTGTCTGAAGGATTTTGTAGGAAACTTAATTGCCAATAATCTGCTTTTCTTTCCAATAGAGTCAAAGGCTTTGGCCATCACCTCTAAAGCACCGCCAGCCAAGGATGGGGCTCCAAGGAGATCTCTGAACTTGGAAGATTACAAAAAACGACGGGGGCTTATTTGAGCACATCCAGCCTGCTGCTTCTGACCCTGCATGCCCCATCACAGCTCCCTCCCAGCTCTCTTTTCATTTGCCCTTTTTGGGCTGAAGCAGCAGAAGAACTGGGAAAGAGACTCTAAACCGCCGGTCACCTGTAATATAAACCATTTCCTGTATAGATCTCCCTTGTTTGCACCATCTCCCAAAACCCCTGAGTCCCGCCCAGTGTGGTGGATCTGGGTTCCTGGGCTCTCTTGGGCTTTATCCGTGTCTTTAGACTTGTGTTTGCCTTTATATTTTTTTTTAAAGCCAGCGCAGTCCATTGGCCACTCTGCACGTGTTCAGTATTACCATGGAGCTGGGTTTATTGCGGAACCCTCAGTGGCGGAGCAGCAGCACTCGGTGGTCTCATCTGGACTGCCTTGACCCAACCATTGAACATTTTGGCACCTGACCCTTTTGGAGGGAATGGGGATTGAGCACCTGCAGTCCTCCTTCCTCTCTCTTCATCTTTCTCCTCTTCCCAAGTCTACGGAAGAGGGATTTTCAAAACTGATTTTAGTTTCCAAAAGTGTACATTTTGGGGGGAGGGGTTTACTTGAGTGTGGAGAGAGTGTGTGTGTGTGTGTGTGTGTGTGTGGTAAGTGTGGATTTTTTTATCATTTTTTAAAAATGCAGTACTCTTTGTATAAGTCTGTCATGGGTGTATAGCTGTTTCAGATTTTTTTTCAGCTGTACTTGAGCATCTGAAACTGCAAGAAAGAAACTCATTAAATGTGATTCTTCTTACTAAACAGGCCTGACTGCTGTAGCTGTGTAACTTCCCCACCCTACTTCCTCTTTACCTCCCCTCTACTTTGGCGAAAACTTTCCAGGTTAGCCCCTGCCCTGCAGGCTGTATCCTGGCAGGTGGGAGGAAAGCCCAAGGCTCAGTATCAGGGAAGGCAGTGCAGGTTATCTTGCTCATCCCATGGCAAAACCAGCAGTTTCTTGGCTGAACATAGAGTGTCTTTTTTCCTTCTCCGTGTACCTGTCTTTTTTCTAGTGTGTTTTGCTATTTGAGCAAGAATAATTTGTTTTAAGAGAAAGTATTCAATGTGGAGAGTACAAACCCCAAAAAAGATTTAGGTTGCAAATGTTACAAGCATGTGCAGTTTTGTGTGTGTATACATATATATACGGTAAGCATATATATATTGTTGTGCAGCTAGGGGGAAGCCAGCAAAAAGGTGTGTATGTCTTTATGAAATGTTTGAAAAAGAGATAAGCTGACTGCTTGATAATCATTCTCAGGTGTAAAGCTCCAAGTGTAAATAAAAGTGGCATTTAACAAATCTTTTCAGAACAAAGTACAGCTGACAATATATATGAAGAACTAAGCTAAAGAAACAGCTGAGAGCAGTTCATTCTCAGAAGAGGGAGAGAAATCTACCTTTTTCACCAACTTTTGTATAAGGAAGGGAGATGGTGGGGAATCATGGCTGGAGTTAATGAAGTTGTATTTGAACAGAAAAAAAAATGAACTTCGTAATGCTTCTGGGTTTAGCAGAGCCCTCAGTGTTGCTTTAACTTAGTTCACATTTTTTTTATTTAAAAGCAGCAATGGATGATTTTTTAAAAGTATTGTGACTGTAAAATTGGTAACTGTAGCACAGCTAATGTAATAGCTGTGACAGTTTGGTTGGGAAAAGGAATGGTAATGGACTTATAAAATCATACATACTTGAAAAGTCCATTGACCAAAACTCTTTGTATAGAATTGTGTAAATGTGGAATCACAGACTGTTAAACATTGCAGTGACTCCAGCAGCGTCCAGAGGGCTGCTGGGACCTCTCCTATCATGAACTTGGATTTTTGTTTTCTGGTTTTGAAAAACATATAGAATCCATATAATTTGCTGGAGTCATTCTGATCCACCATGTAGATCTGTATTTAGTATCATTTGGATTTGGAGATGTGTCAATTACATTACTGTATAATAAAATTTTTATTAAAACTGCATCACACTGTAGCTATTTTGCCCCCTACCTTTCCACACAGCTGTTGAAACCTTCATTCTGAGACACCAACACACTGATGAGACAAGCCAACCAAAGCTGACTTTCACTACTGTCTGAATAGGCCACATGGTGATTGGGATCAGAACTGAGGCTTTGCCTCCACGCTTTGCTGAGATGAGTCCTCTGAACCAAGATCTTGACCAGACATAAAACATTGCTTTTCTTCCACCAGTTGGACCTTATTGGTTATTCACAGTATTTCTTGTGCTGGGGAATTACTACCCTGGTCCCATGTTGCCTCACACATTTTCATTGTTGAAGGGTGCAGTACCTAAGGCTCTTTTACACATTCTTCAGTTCCTCCCAAGCACATAAAGGCCAACGTTTACCTATCTCATGATGTGTATAGGTCTGTGTGTCTTTTGTGGCAGATGCAGGGAAAGTCTGCTACTGCAATTTACTTTCAAAAAGAATGCTTTTTTCTTTTCTGTGAAGTTCTGACTTGTCAAACTGTACAGATAAATGTAAATAAACTTTATGACCTATTTCAACAAGGGAACCAGATTTAGTCCAATGATGCATCCTGAGTGACAGTTCTAACTGTGCCTTTTGAAAGTCTAAAGAGAGTCTCTCTTACTCCTTTCCATCTTGCAGACCTATATAGCCAAAAATGAAAATGGCAGTCCATTAGCAGCCTGGTGCCCCCAAAGCCTCACTGGTAGGACAGCTTTCTAGAACCAGGGCAGCCACCGCTGGCTGGATTCCTATTGTGATGAAAGACCAGTAACTTTAACAGAGTAAGTAAACCCTTAAGTTACTGCCTTGCCTCGGAGTCTGGTCTTTCCAACTTGGAGCTGTCCTGTTTCCTCCATCATGGGTATGAATGGGACACCACAGGTTTAGAAGAAAAACTGAACAGATGTGTAAGGACTCCTAATCCTATTTCAACAAGATTCTCGACCTTTTACCCCCCTATTGAAATGAAAAGTGTAAAGTCCCATCTAAAAATCACAACCTTGGGAGCCTATTCAAGCCGCCCCTGGAGTTGGGAAGTGGGCTCCATGGGCAGCCTGCCTTGACCTTGTGGTTAGGTGCCATTGAGGCAACTATGATTCAGTGACCCTATGAATAACAACAGATCTGAACCTTGCCTTGTCCTATACCATCCTCACAGTAGTCATTGTGTCAGCCCATCTTGTCTTCCTCTGACCCTTCACATTTCCAAGCATAATGTCTTTTTCCAAAGAATGGCCCTAACAAACAACATGCCCCAATATGAGACATGAGATGGGATATTTTACTTTTTTTCTTCCCACCATCTTCAACATTCTGCCTCTAAGCAGTACTGTGGTTGCACATCCTTCAAGACACATTCTTTTTGCAATCCATGGGATGTCTGTATTCTCCCACCTAGATTCCAACACCTTAGCAAGAATACTGAGCAGAGGACAGTCAAGTCCAATTAGCTCACCTAGAATCCTGGTGCTGTGTAGCAGTTAGTTACTTGCCTGAGCTGACTGCTCTGAGGGCGGATGCTGGGCTCAACTTCATTTTCCAAGGTTCCCTGATCAAGGAGCCCCGATAGGGTGTGTGTATAGGATCCAGAGGGAATGGCAGCCTGCTTTATCAAAATGTTTCCCATGTTAGCCCCTTGGCTGACAAGTACAATCTAGAGGCATTTTCTTGGCTCACGTTAAGTCAGCTACTAGGGCATAGGGAAACCCAGGACCACACGTACTTTATTCAACTGCAGGGTTAGTATCCCTGTTCACAAAAGATGTCAGAATTGGGGTAAACATCAGCGGGTGGGTGCCACAGGGCCTCAAGGGTCTGCACAGAAGTCTAATGATGTTCTCAGCAAGCTCTGGTGGTCTAGAGGCTGTGCTGCAATACTGAAGTCACTCTGTTCTAATCCACCAGCTGCTCCCTGGGAGAATGATGGACAATCTTCTATCCTTTGATTTAACTGCTGAAAACCCCCCATAGGGTCAGCTCTGGGGAGGATACTCAACAACAATAATGTTCTGTTCCTTTCCATAACTAACTCGATACTGGCTTAAAAATACGTTTTTATTCTAATGTGCAAAGGCTGAATATTCCTCAGCCACACACACTCATTCACCTCGCCTGGAATGCAGTGAACTATCTTCACTTCCCTACTGTTGTACTCACCCTTTATAGTGTTCAGTGAAAAGTCTCCAGGAAGTCTGTCCTGATTACCTCTTCTCCACCTGCCTTGAAAGCCCCTCACACTCGCTTCTTCTAGCGCAGCACCCACTACACTGTACTGTGAGTCTACATTCCCAGTCTGGAGGTACTTGATGTGTCCAGGCACTTCTGTCTTTAGCCCCTGCTCTCAGTAACCCCTAGCACTTATTTAATGCTCAATAAATGTGGTAGAGTGAAGGAGTTAGGTAGTCCAGGGGTGTTAGGCTTACGGTCATCCAGTTCAGGCTACGGTGTTCTAGGATCTACAACCCATCCTCTCCTCCGGAAGAGCCCCAGTGGCACAGTGGTGGGAACTCACAGCTTGAGAAAGATGTGTCAGTCCCTGTCCATAAAGATTACAGCCTTGGAAACCCTATGAGGCAGTTCTCTCTCCTATAGTGTCGCTGTGAGTAAAAAAACATCGCAATGGGTACAGGTCTTCCTCCCATCCTGCCCCTGTAGGCCCAGAGCACCAGGAAAAGACCTCTTCAGAGCAGAGGCTCCAGCAGCGAGAGCTCAGGCTTCATGCCCTGCTTCAGGCCTCCTAAAAACAGGACTGTGGCGGAGGGAGGCGGCCGGCCCAACCTGGAACCAAGCTGTCCCAACGGACGGCGACGAGCAAACCGTCCCCGCGCGCCTACGCCAAGCCTGCCGGCCGCGTGCTCGCCAACGCCGCCTGCACGTGCGCGCGCGCGCGTCTCCGGGCGTGGGCCAGCTGGGGCGCGCTCTGTGCTTTCCAGAGCAGGAAGCGGGGGAAGCGCTCGCGGCTTCTGCTATGGCCTGCAGACCCCGGAGTCGCAGCAGCAGCGCAGTTTCTCTGACTGTGGGCACCTTCCTCGAGGTTTCAGATTCTTCTCCACCACGATCCTCCTTGGCCGCTGCTGCCTCTATGTACCCAAAGGGTAGTTATCCGGGAGGCACTCACCGCGGCTGCTAGATGGCTTGAAATTCTAGGCGGTTGGAGGA